TTCACACGCTATTCATCATCTTTTCTTCCGATTCTAGCCGTGGTGCCCTACTAGCAGGCAGTTCAATGCATCTATTCAGGTCTATCGTGTCCTAAGATTTGCCGTCCGTCAGTTTCGGCCAAGACGTGGTTGCTTCCATGGCGGACCTAAGGAACCAAGAGTAGGCGTTCCGATGGAAGGGCCTGAACCAGAAAACTTGTTTGATGATTTCCAAGGTTCGTTGTGTCCCTCAAGCTGGTAGACCTTATGCATTACAGATTTCACCTACTTGTTTGTCATTTACTTGAAGGGATCGGCAATGGAGTTGGCTTTCCTGGAAACGACTGAGGAAGATTGTGAGCTTGAAGTTCTCCCGACGTCACCGTTACATTTTGACTAATTATCCTTAGGTTTCGATTGTTTTGATAAATTTTCTAACTCAGTAAAATTTAATGTTAAAGTTGTAACAATAAACTTTCTTAAAACTACAACGATGTCACTCTGAAAACTGAGAACGAATCATTAGAAAGCTTTATTTTATTTGAAAACACAGATAATTTTAGAACTTTCGTAAAGAGCTCCTCACGTGGTCTCTTAAAGCTGAGCAGTTTCGCTGCCCATTTTTGCCTACTAGATGGAGCTCGCTCCATACGTCCTCATTCTTGCTTCGATTAGAATCGGTGGTACCACTGAACGCGATTTCCACAGTGCTATGATTCGCGGGGCCAGCGAAGTACAGTCTTTAGGTTGCAGATGATGTGTAAGTGGGCTTTGGCGTCGCCAGTCCGTTTTCCATCAACTAATGAAGCGAAGCAAGGGCGCCGCGCGAAACTTAGCTCTCATTCAGCCCCACCTGCAGCGAATGGGACTGTACATGTCCATATTTTCTGCACTAAGATAGGGCTAATGGTAAGCATTCAAGACCAGAGCAAAACAAATAGCCTTAGTTCGGGCATTCAGCGGCTTGCAAAGAGGTTTCCCACGTTCAAGTGGTGAATTGTGTGGCAAATTCCAATGACAAAATCGTCGGAGGAAGGACTCAGCTCACGGCAGGTATTTTCGGAAGTCTTCATGCTCCAGGCTGTGCACACTATAGGTAAATAGAAAGAAAGTATTAGCATCAGTTGAAAGTGGAGCGTACATTTAAAGGAACTGTCCGCGATGACCTATATTCGAGAGCCCTGAGATCGGGTAGGCGTGGCTGCATATTCAATTTTGCAATGGCGGCGGTCAAGATGTTCGTGAAAAATTTTCATTTTGAAGCAGTCCCGTAAATCATGGCTGACATCCACCACGAGCAGCAGGAAGGGGGGCAGTTATTGTCGAGATCGATAGTATCCAACGAGTAACTTGTACTCATGACAGGTGCTCAGAAGCAGATCTCGTCCGTTTCTTAGGGGATAAAGGAGTGTATGGAAATGCAAGAGGTCATATGGGAAGGTAGTGCGCTCAGGAGTGGACAACCCTGTGCCAGTTTCGCGGCGGAAAGTTGTACGGTAAAGGAATTAAGGCGCAAAGTTGCTTCAGTGGTACATCCCTTTTTCCAGTGACTCCGCCTCCAGACTCCGCTCCAAAGTCGGCCTTCCAGCCAAAAGTAATGCTCCCGGGCAAGTATCATGGAGTGGATGCATTCAGTGTCTCTTGTAGAGTCATAGGGTTTACTGAGAACCAGCCGACAGGAATCGTCCCAGCGCGCGGTCTTTTCGGTCTTTTACCTCTACAGTTGTTTGAGGCTAGAGGAGGCCTGACGAATGCGTTTCCAACGTTCCTTTGGCATTTTCTCTTCATAGACGGTTCACTTGGCGAATTTTCTTCCACATTTCTGCAACATCACCTAGGCTTTTTATCGCGGAGCCGTGCCTTTAAGTCACTGTGGTGTTGCCTGAGGGCTGCCACTATGGTATCGTCAAATGAAATCAGAGTATCACAAAAATTATAAGTAACGGGAAGAAGACTTGATCCCAGGTGGGACTCAACATCTGGCGCTTTTGCTGTGCGATTGCGCTACAGCACCGTGGAAGATTTCCATCTTCCCTTAATAGCATTTTTGCGACAGCCAAGCTTTACGGCTCCAAGCAGCTTTCAACAATGAAACTCCACGGTATCTGGATAATGGTGGAGGTAGTGCCGCGCGAGCACGTTCCAGTAACGGAACCCGGGCTGAATCTCTGGCAGGACCTACTGCTTGTACCCTCGCTTCAGCCTTTTTCATGTGTAATTAAATAGGTTCGCAGCTGCAGTAGCGTGCCACTGCTCCGCTCTCAACGTGCAGGTAACGAGCAGGAGTGAGTGCGGGCAAAAAAGTATCGCCCGTTCACCTCGCACGTGGCCTACGGAGGTGTGTTTTTGGTTTGTCTTCAACGTTGCTTTTCTTCGGACTTTTGGTGCCAGACGTTTTTTCAGTGGCGGAATGCTGACCACACTACGAATGTATATCAACTTTCCACGCCGACCATTGTTTCGGGCGAATTCCAATTTCGATTCTGATGGAGAATGCACGACGCATACCAAAGTGCCGTGACCATTGCGTGCAAAAGGCGAAATGATTCGTTGTTTCTTCAAAGGATTGCAAAATGCTTTATTTGATTGATCAGCATTGCGAATTATTTTGTGGAACGTCATGACAAAGCACAGTGAATACTCGCTGCCGTCCACTCAAATCGTATGCTTCAGGATTCGGAATCGGGTTTCTAGTGCACTCTTATCTGGAGGTATAAGTCATTAGCTACACAATTTTCAAGATATATGTAAAAGCTGTCATCATAATTTGACTCACCTTATATCTATGCCTTCTGAATAATGCACGTTCTCTTTTATGCTGCTTAGGGATTACACGGATCCTGACCCTGTCATCCCAGGAGCGCTTCTTGTCACCTGTCATTAGCGCGATCACATTTTTCAGAAAAAAGTGCGCTACTAAAGTGCAAACCGTCTGTAGAAACTTTGAGAAAAGCTAAGCTCACCACCCTTTCGGTGACGGATAATGACAGTCCTCGCGTCACCAGTGTGATATAGCATTGGCCCCAGTAAGAGTAGAAGAAGTAGTAGAAAGCGCATTCTGAAATATTGAAATATTTCCACGATTCACAGATTGGTGAAAGAATGGAGAGGGAGAAGGACTCAGTCTCGAGGCAGTCTAGAGACGGGGGGTGCTATTAAGCACTTTCGCTGCTTTCCATAGACATGTCGAACCATCTAGAGGTCTGTTCCATGAGCTCACAAGGGTTTTACGGTGGTGGCTCGACTAGCTTCATAGTTGAAGCTCCAGCTTCACATGTGCTCACACGTTTCATCAGAATCATACTTGTAAATTGGAACTAGTGAAAGTGCAAGTGCCCCTCGTCGCCAAACTGTGCCCGAAATCTCTGTTGGCAGGCTAAGAGCGTGCACTTGTAAAGGCTTTCGGCTGCAGCTGACAATCCGTAACAAGTCGTTGCCTCAAAAGCTGGCTTTTCTCTACCAGGTCTCCTCAGATGCCTTGAACCACACTAACCGTAATACCTGATGCTGACGGGCTCTCAATAGAAGGAGGTGTAGGGCTTGCCAAGAGACCACAAGTCAAGTCCAAGACAAGATAGGGACCAATAGAAAAGGACTTTCCTCTGCACAAGATAGGGACCAATAGAAAAGGACTTTCCTCTGCAAAGTGAGTATTCCTGTATGACAACGCCCCGCTACTGCGTAATTTATCAGCACCGTTAGTGAGCCCGTAGTATGTAGATGTTTCCCCTGCTGTCCAGAAGATGGGGCAAAGTTTTGAGCACCATGCGGCAAAACTAGCATAGACGCCCTACAGACCTCCTCTGCTGATTTCTCGCGAGTTTGTCAAACCACTCAGCCGGCTAACGCACGTTTGAGCAGAAATCTTTTAGTCAGAGCCGGACACAGTTCAATCTTTGGGACCACTAAAAAGCCGACCGTTGAAGGACTGTTCTTCATTTCGAAATAATTTTGGGTCAAAATTTTTCTCTGCAATTAACAGCATTTTTGTAGCATTTTTCGGAGAGCCCGGTCACCTCACTAGCAGCAGTTATCGCAATAGAACGAAGATATTTTCATCGTCCACACGCCCCTTGTTGGCTCTATCTATAGACTTTCCATGATACTTTGGCTTGTTACCGTAATCTTTTATCGACATTTTACACCCACAGGTACACACGGAATCCCTGAGATCGGTAGGCGTGGCTGCGTACTTAATTTGAAATGGCGGCGGCCCAGGTTTTCGTGAGATATTTCCATTTCGGAGCAGTCGTAATCATGTCTACATCTAACACAGAACAAGATAGCAGTTGTTTCAAATTGAAGTATCCCACGAGTAACCCGTCCTATGCCATGCTCAAAAGATACGCCTACCCGCCTCAAGGATAAGGAGTGAACCTTATGCGTGGATCCCGCAATTGTAAAGGGACCAGAGACCTTACCCGACCTATTAATTTTATTTAAACTGTGGCGTAGAAAGAGGGGCTTGATATACGAAAGCGTGTAATGCTGAATAGAGAAGAAAAAATGATGCCGAGCTGAAGTGAGGTCCTACATTTCATGCCCACCTATTTATACATTTATTTATACATATTTTGCGATTTATTTAGAGCTATTGTAGCAATGGAAAAATATGTAAATAATATGAAGCGCCTTGAAAATAGAAAGCAAGCTTCAATGCCTAAAAAAAGACGCGTGATGCCCCAACGTTACGGTTTTATTCATGAACTTACCGTAGGAATATTGGAATTTTTATAAGGAAACGCGCTGCAATTTTAGTTTGATTGACAGAAGAAAATAAACGAATGACTGCTGTACGGTTCAATATAAAGTTTTGCTTTTTTGTTTTTTTTAGATTTTTTTCAGTTTAAAGTGGATGATGGGGCGCGTCAGTGAGGTTGTGTTTATCGAGTTGCCAGCCTGTACTCCACCTTGTTGGAGCGAGTAACAACTGACCATGAGACACGACGACTGATTCAAACCAAATAATACAGTCTGTCCCTCACCGAACTTGAAGGAAGGGAAGGAGCGAGGTTGCGCAGCCCCAAACCGATCTCCACTCCCCCCTTGACAGCTT